ATATTGCACGATATTATCTCAGCCAAAAATAAATAAAAATAAAATAATAAAAATATAAATGTATATCTAAATACATTAGATGCAATAAACATTATATATGTCACTAAATATATATCTTAAAATTATGTGACTACCGTGCGTACTACTATTAAAAAAAAATTCATAAATTGTTCTAGTCCCGCAACATGGCACTATTGAAACAGAATTCACTTGATTTTTCCAAATTACCAAATATTTGTTTAGTATATTTTGGAATAAATACAATGGTGCTCTTCAAAGTTTATATCTCTTCATCATTGAATCAATGAAAACTTTGTCTGGAGTCGGTAAAAGAAATAAATTTGATTTCTCTTGTTACAATGAACATTTAGGACTTCGTCATATTACTGAAATTTGAATCTAATAGTAGTAAGCATCAGTAGTCAACGAGAGAGTCTAAATTAATCCTAATATTAACTAATTTAGCCAGTGGCTTGATAATTTGACTAGAGTGGCCCAGCCGAGTGATGCAATTTTCACCTTTCTCTCCCGGCCTGGGACTGATTCGTCCGCAAAGCATAAACTAACTCCTCAACAACTATTTGGCGAAAACGCACTTGTTTGATATAATAAACTTACTTATATTTGATAAAATTCATAAATCGCGAACATATTGTTCTAAAATCGATAAAGTAGCAGAAGAAATAAGCCTATGCAACTACCGCTCCTCCAATGACCTTCTTCATCATCAAGGTCAAGTAAGAAGTGGGCTTGAAACCGCTTAGTTCGTCTACTAATGGCTATACCCTTTCGGTATATTGACCACTCTTTTGTTCTTTTGGCCTAACCTAAGACGCTACCACTATTAATTTACATTTTAATATATAGTTGGTACTTTTTAAGGATTATGTCACTTAAAGTTTAGTAGAAATATTATACTATATTTTTTTGTATAGGTATTATTAAATAAATATATATAAATATTACATCATTGGCTCTTTAAACAATCGAAAAAATATTGGAGCCTTGACATACAACTTGGAAAGTCCATTTGGAACGAGCTTACTTTACCGATTATTTAAATGAGTTATCAGAATTACGAAGTCTTTAAAAGTCTTGTTTATTATTTATCGATCATATTAATATTTTAAGAGACAACTGTTTAGTTGATATGCATCTTAATATTTTACCCCGTTCTCTTTAGTACTATTTTTTATTAAAGTTAAAGTATTTTTTACCCAAAAAGAGAGATTTTGAAAATATACAGGGTGTTTATTAATTGAGTGCCGATACTTTAGGGTGTGAATCCTTAGGTGATTTTAAGAAGAAACGTTAATATCAACATATGTCGTAACTCACTTAATTTTTGAGCTACAGGGTGTTACAGTTTTAAGAAAAAAAAATACTTTTTTATCATAATTTTTTTTATCACTCCAGATATTTCTATGAAATTTTTTACACACGTTTTAATAATTAAGTAGCATTTTTTGACCTATAAGATTTTTTTTAAGTTTTAACCAGTGACGTCCGTACGGGGTTTGAACTGAATATTTTTAAAGAAAAAAATGGTACGCCACTGCTTTTTCTGAAAACCAAAATTATTTTTGAAATCATCATTTATTTTGGAGCAAACTTGGCTTATAGACTTACTTTCGTACGATGCACCGTTTTCGCGTAAAAAAATAAAAATAAAAATAAGAGTTAAAATCTGAAAAAAAAAGGTAAATTTTACGAACAGTGAATTAGCTGACATGCATTTTAGTTATGGGCTTGCAGACGGAAATGCATACGAAGCCAGACGGATATACCAAGAGCGGTATCCAAATCGCGTACTACCCGATCCGAGAACATTTTCTAGGATTCATAGACGTCTTCACGAGACCGGAACTTTAAAAGTAGACCACGGGGCTAAAGGAGTCCATCAAACAGTAAGAACACCGGAACTTGAAGAAGGAATTTTACATGAAATTGAGGAGAACCCCGAAACTAGCACGAGGAGAATCGCGTCAACATTTAATGTTTCACATGTACTTGTTTGGAAAATTCTCATCGAAAATTTGTTATACCCATATCACATTCAAAGAGTCCAGGCATTACTCCCTAGAGATTTCCCGTTGCGCATTAATTTCTGTGAGTGGTTTCTTTAAAACCTGCTGGAAAATCCATTATTTGACAGGCACATTCTTTTTACCGATGAAGCTAATTTTTCTCGAAACTCAATAATAAATTTCCATAATAACCATTTATGGGCGGATGGAAACCCTTATGCAATTGTTAAGTCAAATCATCAAGAACAGTTCTCATTAAATGTTTGGGCTGGCAATATTGATGATTATTTGATAGGCCTATTTTTTCTCCCAAGAATACTTGATGGACAATCATATTTACACTTCCTTGAAGATGATCTGCCGCCAATGCTTGAAGACCTTCCTCTTTTATTAAGAAACCAGATGTGGCTAATGCACGATGGTGCGCCTTCACATTTTATCTTACGAGTGCGTGAATTTTTAAATCACACCTATCGCAATCAGTGGATAGGTCGCGGAGGAACGCAGTCATAGCCGCCTAGATCTCCCGACCTTAATAGTTTAGACTTCTTTTTCTGGAGGCATCTGAAAAGCTTAGTGTACGCAGTGCCGATTCAAACCGAAGAAGAGTTACGAAATCGTATAACAGTCTGCTGCCAAACCATAAGAAACACCCCAGGAATATTTGAAAATGTGCGTCAGTCTATGCGAACTAGAGTAGATGTTTGCATATGTGTGGGTGAAGGACACTTCCAACAATTACTGTAAATAATTTGGGTTCTTTATTTTGTTTGTATTCTCTTGTAATTTCGTTTTAGATTCAAGATTTTAAATTTTCATTTTACTATAAATAAACCCCGATTTTTAAAATACATAGAATTTAAAAAGTGTTTACAAAATTTCATAGAAATATCTGCAGTGACAAGAAAATTATAAAAAAAAATATATTTTTTTCTTAAAACTGTAACACCCTGTAGCTCCAAAATTAAGAGATTTACGACATATGTTGATATTAACTTTTCTTCTTAAAATCACCCAAGGATTCACACCCTTAAGTATTGGCACTCAATTAATACACCCTGTATATTTATAATATATTATTAGACCTAATAATAATAAGTTGTTTAATTGGTTTCACCTTTTATCTATTTTTTTTTTTGTTACATTGATAACTAAGATATATTCACTGTTATGTGATTATTCTATTCAATTTTGTTCACAAAAAATACCTATTTTCCTATATTTACCTCACAATAGTTATAACACCATTATTACCATGGCAGTAGATGAGATGTCCAGAACTGGCTAATCTCATCTACTCATGACTACTGCTCGTAAAGTTATTCTATCACATATGTTGTCTATTCTCATTTAGTGGTACATTTTTTTGTATCAATAACGCTATCTTTCATCCTCTACTCTTATCCATTATATTCTCGTATTACTTTTCAGATGACTACTGCTGAGTGTTATGGTAAAAGGTACGAATTTTTTAGATATCGACAAGTCCCTTAACTTAATCAGATATATGTTTGCAAAAAATATATTACCGATTGATTAACAATCAGGGGACTTACTTAATAAATTAATTTTATATTTTGGAGCCTTTAAGTTATTGAGATACCTTTACCTATTAAATTCTAAATCCTTTTTTGTTGAAATTTCGTTAGAACTATTTGTTATTCTTAAAAATTATAAATGTGTACAGTACATACAGGTCTATATCTCTCTTTTTGGCAGAACTTTAATGTTCTATTTATACTCCCTTATGTCTTAAATTTATATTAGATAAAAAAGTAGAAATTTCAGACAAATCAGATAGAAAAGAGGTATTTATTTCCACCTGGTGACATATCTTTTGTCATTCTGTTAACTTTATACTCGTTAAACACTGCTTGTTTCTCGTGTAATTTCTCTCTGGTATTTTCTATGAATAAATCTGAGAATAAACATAAACAGCATCCGACAACATAATCATAGGTCTATTGTCATTTGTCATAAAAGTTAAACCTGTCAATTATTAGGCATAAATCGAGTATAAATGTCCTCAGTACATTGTCAACTTAATCCCAAATCATAATGCTAATGCAAATACTAATAACAAGGGAGTATGAATAGACATTTAGTGTTGGCTTTCGTTTCTTAATTGCGAACGAATTAGTTATTTAAATATTTATAAACTTAATAACAATACGTTCCAAATGGACTCCCTACGAAGTTCCCCTTAATAAGTAAGTTCTCCGAGCGCTGTGACTAGCGTTGCATCACAGAAACACACCTGGGCTAAATTTGGCATCTGAATAGGCGATAGCACCACCACCCCTTGAGATTTTTGTTTATTATCCTTATCCAATAATAGTTAGACACACACATCTATACACTTACAAAGAGCACAGAATAGTCTCAAAATAAATACTTTACACAAACGAGAATACAAAACGGCCTGTACAATCAAACACTGATTTGTTATTTAATCACAGCCCATTTGGAATTTCTCGAAGAGAGAGAATTGGTTTGGTGGCGCAGTCGCACTGCAAAATTTTTGCTGCAAAAATAACATTATCCGCTTACGAAGACTCACAAAAAATTCGGTTAGACGGTCAGACTGATGACAGAAAATTAGATATTTAAAATACCAAACGATTCAAATTATGACAATTTTCTATTCAGCACAACTTATTCTGATGATCATTGTCATAACATTGGTCAATATAGAGTACATGCTTTACTGATACAGTGTCGAAACGTACTCTTGACATTTTCGATTTTTATCTATGATAAAAGAATATCAATTTTATATTAATCGTTTTAATTAAATTACTCTTATTTTCTGTCGAAATATCGTACCATAAAATGGGTAGTTAGTCTAATAAGCTCGGATTATTTTTGCAACAAACGTGCTCGGAGTCGCCAAGTATGTTTTTAAGTTTAACTTAGTGTTTATATATATATAGTGTATACTAGTGGCGAATAAGCACCCACAAGTTGGGCACCCACATATCTAAGTCCGAAGGTTAGTATGGCCTGCTGGCGTCTTTGGGCCTCTTCAGTTGCACTTTTAGTCGCTTCATGCCTATTTGAAAGCCGTTCATTGCTTGAATAGCGGCTTGAGCACTAGCTGGGTTGTCGAAAGATACAAATCCTGTAAAATCAACAATTTCGTTAATATTTATTTACTAAGAAAAATAAATAACAACAGTTTCCGAAAAAAATATCAATTTTATTTTGTTTCTGTATTATTTCATTATGTTTATTAGTTTAATTTCATTATTTTAACATTATTTTACAAAGTAGTTTGTACAACAAGAGCGATTATGATTATTTTAGAATGTTTAAAATATGTTTTGATGTTATTGAGAAAAAATTCGTAATTTAAAACATAATTAACACAAAGTTTTGAAGGTAAAGCTTTCATTATTTTATAAAATCAAAATTTAAAAATTATTTTCCCATTACACTGGATTTGAACTCCGGACTTTTCTCACGAGAACTCATTGCTGTAACTTTTGCACTTTAAAGGGGTTACAAATGAAAGATTTCGACGGTAGAATACTGCAGATATAATTCGATGTCATTTTAGCTTTATTTGGCGAAAATGATTAACTATCTTAAAGAGTGGAAAAACCTATAGATTACTGAGATGTAGGAAAGGATCAATCAAATAAAATATTTTACTATCGTCATCAGTTGCGAAGGGTAATTTAAGCGTTTATTTGAAAAACAACACATGTCAATTTTATTGAAATTTTGGCTCATCAGTTATTCTCATAGAAAAATAATATGTACACATATTTCAAGAATTCAATACTACTGTAAAAACACCAATTGTCCGGGTTAATCCTTTCAAGACTAACGGGACTATATATCCCAAATCAAATTTTGTTTTGACTGCTGGGAAATATGATCCCAATTATGTATACACTGTGTCCCAGATTGGTGCTACAGGTATTGCTATCTCGGTTATTATAAGAGCTACAAAATCGGTTAAATGGGCAATGTTTCTCAGGATTCTATTATCATTTCAGAACTGTTATTACATTTTGTTAGTTAAGAAAAAGGGAAGTGCACTATTAATTATAATATCAAAAATACCGAATTAATTGTATAGCCGGTTTTCAATAAACAAATCTTTATCTACCGAGTCTTAATTAGTAACTACGTTTGTACCATGGAGGAAGGATTATTAAGAGTTGCCGTTTCTTTGTAGAAATTTGGCAACATGTTTGCTTGCAACGACCTGTGGGGTGGAGGAGTAGAACTAATCTTACTCTGTCGGTAATGTAGTTACCAGCAGTATTACCATCAACTCTTACTCTGTCGGTAATGCAGTTACCCGTAATTTTATATTTAATTTGAAAATTGGCGGGTTTTTTTAAAGGAGAATTTACTTTTGCAATTATTTTCTAACTAATACGAAATATAGCCATACAAAATTTTGATAGTAATTTTTTTAATTTTTTAGTGAAATAAAAAACATGTACGTGTAGTTAAAATATGTTCCTCTGGAGCCACTTTTTCAAAATTTAATCAAATTTTGATGGCAATAAATCGCAAAATTTTGTTTTTATAAAGATTTCAAAAATTGAGAAAATAATTAAATTAAATTTCGGAATAGTGGTTCCACAAAAACAGACATTTTTCACTTTTACCTGAAGATATATATTTTTCATTCACTAAAAAGTAAAATTAAACTATAGAAATATTTGTGGCTCTATTTCGTATTGTTTAGAAAAAGATAATTGCTTAAGTAAATTTTCCTCTTAATTATAACGAAACTTACTCATTTGAAGCTCCCGAAAATATTGCAGTTTTAGAAGAAAGAGTCCGAAACGCTATGGGTGCTAGGGTTGCCACCTTTTTGAAAAGTGCAAACAGGACTATGATGCCGATAGGGTTTACAAAAGGGCCTCAATCATTCTGCTGAACTTCTAAAAAAAAAAAGACCACTGTGTCACAAAAAAAGTACTCGTCCTTCTAATGAGCTTCAAAAAACAAGTCGACTTCACAAAAAACTCCTTGTCCTTCTGCCGAGCTTCCAAAAAAAAAAAATCTAAAAAAAAAGGTGAATGTTTCACAAAAAAAGTGCTTCTAAAAAAAGGTTCTCAGCTTGTCTATTTTTGTACAAGCCAGGTCCCTCTCAAAGATATCAAAGAGTAAAACAGGACATAATATGCCGTAAAAAAAGGACATTTTAAGCTTTAGAAAGTCGCAAGGACATTTTGTTTGAAAAAAGGATTGTTCTTTTCAAAAAAGGACAGGTGGCAACCCTAATGGGTGCAGTGAATAGAAACACATTATTAAGGGCAAAATCGTTGTCAAATGTGTTGTGATCAAAATGGTGGCCACATACAACAATTTCTTTAAATTAGACAGTTTATATCTGAAGCTTGTATTGTAAATTCTCCCAAAAATTATCGCAAAATCTTTATTTTTTTATGGTTTTTATAAAGTTTAAATTAAACCGACTATAATTTGACAGTTCTAAAACTTATTGTTAGCTTGCCCTTAATTAGGAAATTTTCAGATTTGTTTATTTCAGCATTCATTTGAAAGAAAGTACCACATTGTGATACATTTTTGCAAAGGATATTAACAATTTTATTTAATGCAATAAAAATCCAATATGGCGTCCATAAGAAAAAACAAAGCTATAGTCAATATCTCGAAAACGGAAGGAAATTTTTGTTTGTTTTATTTTTAATTGTAAAGACCTTAAAAAAGTGCCCATAGAATATCTAGACCAAAATAATGTATGTTCTCAAATAATCGAGATACGGAGGACTATCAAAAACCCACCATTTTGGGTTTCAGCGATTTATTCAGAAACCAAAAATAACTAACAAAATGTAATAGCAGTTTTGAAATGGTAATTGAATCCTGAGAAATATTGCTACAGTGTATATAAATGCCGTTTTAGTCTTTTCAGTGCCTGCGGTCATCTAGCAGTTTGTTGTTTGTAAACAAAGCGAGATAACCTCAATTTTTTCGAGCTCCAAGCCACATGTTGATTATTTTTGGGCGTTTTTAAGCCTTTTTAGGGCAATTATTTACTGTTTATTCTGTATAACCAAGTAAGTACCTTTCTTTTAGTGTAAATAATAGTTTGATTATATTTTACGTATTCCTTGATCCGAAATTTTCTGATTTTTTTTTTTGGGACGTTATGTCTCAACAGGCTTTATTGGTGGGATCATTTGTCCCACGAGACTTACGAATGTGTTTTTATTTTTCAGGATGAATAGAAAAAACCACTAGTTCAAGCTGAGCTTGAAAGAATTGCTGAAAATCTTGAATTCTCCGAAAGTGATACTGATCCTTACCAAAATAGTAGTGATGAAGACCCAGATTGGTATAGGTCGTGTTCAGAAACCGAGTCTGAGTGCGATGGTGATGTTCAATCAGAAAATAACGAACTCGTCGAAACTTAAGATACAGGTAGCGATAATGGTGATGCGAATCATCAGAGTACTTTGTTTCTTCAAACAGCATCTACAAGTCCTCAGCCTGGGACCTCAACTTTGGTTCCGCAAAATTATATTCCACGATTTCAACTGTCTCTTACCAGGGATACAGAAATCCTCCTGAACTACCCAATAAACAGAATTTGAAGTGGTTTTGCAGTTATTCCCAAAAAGTTGTACATGTTCATATCCCAATGCACCAATGAAAGGCTAAAAATTTTCAAAACAAAGTGAAATTGACTGACTATTCTGAAATTATGATGGCAACTGGTGTTATGTTAGTAATGGCTTATAATGTGCTGCTAAGCTTGAACTGCTATTGGTCAAAACATCCTTTTATGGGAAATACTACAATTAAAAATGCAATGTCGCGCGATCGGTACAAATTGCTAATTTCTTAATTGTATTTTAATTACCCCGAAAAACCACCGAACTGTACAAAGATTTATTACGTAGAAGAGCTCTTGGAGTGTTTTAAATATACATATCAGAAAGCTAGAACGGATTCGGTTTACCAGTCCATAGACGAAAGCATGGCGAAATTCAAAGGTAGATCCAGCTTGAAACAATATTTGCCACTAAAACCGGTCAAAACGATGTGACATCCATGATATTTCACTATATCAAGAATAATATTCAAGAAAGAATGGATGAAATTTGGGTCTTCTCTGATAATTGTCTAGGCCAAAATTAAAACTACGTTTTCATTCGTTTCGTGTACGTACTTGTGCACGTTCTAAAAATGGTCTCTGAGATAACACAGGTCTTCCCAGTTTGAGGACACTCTTATTTACCTTGCGATAGTGCCTTTAGCCTTAGTTCTCGTGTAAAAAAGTTATCCTTGATGTTCCATAAGAATGGAACGACCTTATACGACAGGCAAGATGTAAGCCCTCTCCATTCAGGGTGATAAATGCTGGAAAAGAGACTGAACGAAAGTTTGAAATCCTTCTTTTTGAAAAATCCCAAACCAAAAATTTCACTGAAACCAGCGCGAATGTACCGAGTATCACAACAGTATCTGAGTCAGGTTCAAGTATGTCAAAGTTATCATGGTCCTTGGACATTTCATACCATTGCAGGAAAAAGAAACGCACAAGAAATAGCTCTAATACCAAACAAACGGCAACCTCAAAAAGGCAAAGTGAAGTTTTGGGACTTAATGTAACTCACTAAATATCTTAAGAATCCAATTAATAAAGAATTTTACCTTAACCTGAACACACAAATAGATGGGAGGGAAAAATCTTCAGATATTGAAATCATTAGAGACGATAACAGCAGCGATGGAGAATAAAAAAAGTGTTTTTTATATAAGGACATGTGTTACTTTTCTAATATTCGTAAATTTTTTCAAGTTTTTCCTGTTTTAAATTTTCAACCAAAATAAATATTAGAATATGCTTCTGAATTAAACATTATTTTCAAAAAGCATCGTTACAAATATGCATACTTAAACTGTAAGAAGGTAAGCAGTTTTTCTTGAATTCTCAAAAAGTTGATTTTTGGACATATGTGTTGTTTTTCAAATAAACGCTTCAATTGTATAAGAAATATTTCACAATATTTTTAATTCTCGTCAAGGGAAATCTTATAACCAAGGAGACAGGTTTTTTTCATATGGAGCATTCTAAAATATGTTTTAGTGTAGCTAAAGCTAGAGTTTGTTAGGAGTTAGGACAGTATGAAACTCTCGACGTACGCGTACGGCAGAGTCTGTCGTGTTTGACTCACGTCAGTATTAGTAGAAGTGGTTTGCCAGAATATAAATCGGTTCAACTTGTTCTATTGAGAAATGCAGATGAAAATGAGTTCTCATGAATTAAATAACGCATTAGTAGCCATTATTTTATTGAAAGAAGACTACGAAGAATATTTGTTAGTTTTAATAAACAATGGCCAAAATGAAGCATTATTTTTAACTATATTATGTTTATCACTTCTGTTTTCACATAATAAAATGCAGTATTCTCCTCTATCTTACCAATTAATATTTCATCCCCTTCAGAAGAAAATTTCAATGACATTTTATCACTTTAATTATAACAAAAATTATCCTAACCTCATGTCACTTGACACTCTTGACAGTCTACTGTACGCTCAGCTGAACGAGTGTGTCCAAATCAAACTAAAATTGATTTCGATGTAATTAGTCGACGTATACTGCTGTCTGCCTCACTGTGCCGACTCTAACAAATTGTTCCCATAGTATTAACTATGAGTTTTGCATCGCATACTGTTCTAACAAACCTTATCTGAAGCCTTAAATTGATGACGGCACATTATTCTTTTAATTGCAATTTTGAGAGAAGTTTATTTATGTGCAATGATCTTTTGCGATTAAAATAAAGTGTACTTACCAAAACATTTGCTCTGATTTGTGGCACGATCAATGAATACTTTCGAACTGATGACGTTTCCAAAGGGAAGAAACATTTGCATTAGTTCTGCGTCTCCAAACTCTTGTGGAAGGTGGTATATAAAAAGGTTGCATCCTTCAGGACCTGATATTGAGCAACCTAGTGATTGAAAATCTGTTTACATTTTTTAAATGTTAAAAAACAATTTGTGTATCATACAAGAAACGTATGTGAAAGAATTCTCAATTTTTTTAATAAATCTAGCTTCTTTGAAGAGTGTTATTTACTTCCTTTAAAATTAAATGAATGGCGCTTGATAGAGAAAGAAAAAAATATAAAATTAGCCTAATTTAAACGTTAACTAAAATATAAAACATCATAGTTGACAATGACAGTTTATTTTGCCGGAAAAGCTAAATTAATTTACTACCATTTTCTTAATCTAATAAAGAAAAAGAGAAGATTTAGACATCGAAAATTCTTTCACATTGAGTTGAGTCCGCCAGTGTTATTTGAGTTTTGTATTATACGAGTAGTTTACATTTACGGACTCAATTTATGAAACATAATAACAACACAACATCAAACATATATAGCTTATACAAAAATGCAAATATCAAGTATCAAACATTTAACTTAGATATATACAGGGTTAGTTTAAAGTAGGGAAATGCCTGATTATCTTAGGAATGCAAAAAATACAAATCTTGCAGGATCATATTCTCAGATTGTTACAAAATACACAGAGTGACACTCTATTTATCCCATCATGTTCAGATATCTTTTAATTTCTAGAGTAACTTTTTAGTAGGGTACCTAATTGTACCTTAAGTTAGATATTTGAATTGTTGGTATATATCTTTAAGTTAGATATTTAAATTGTTGGTATATATCTCTAAAGGATCGCAAAATTTAGAATATTATGATTTTGAATTAATAAGGTAAGCCATTTTTAAAAACTCATGAACACTAACGAAATTTTATTCCAATATTGTAATCGTGAAAGCATTGCCTCATCATAAAGTTACTCTAGAAATAAAAAGGGACCAGAGAACGGAATTTTATTATAATAATTTGGGTTTTTACGTTTCTCCGTATCACCGTGTATATTTTCTTATATTCTAAAAAATTCCCTTACAGCATTATATGCAAAATATTTTTTTTGTTCTTGAGATATTCAGGTGTTTTCATGCTTTATACTAACTCTGTATTTATATATAAAGAAAACACCAATATGCGACATTTGAAATAAAATTAAGTGAAAAACATATTGAAATAGATGTATAAAAAACATTATTATAGATGAAATTTATAATTTTTTTTTTTTTTAATATTTATTTATTGTCATAAAGTCAATTTATATGAAATGGTCGAAATGATTAGGAAAGCCTATCAAGAATAAGTAAAGTTTCTTCTATATACTGATGATTACTAAATAAAAATGATATAATTTGACATTAGGTTAAATATGATGCCCCAAATAATTTATAAATATATTTAATAATAAAATTGTAGTTTTATAAAATATTATAGAGTAAGCAACCCATCTCATACAAAATGAGCCTCTAGATAAATATAAAATCACTTAATACATTTGCAAAAAGAAAGAATTTAAATTCAAAACATTGTCGTCGATGTAATAAATATTTACATATACTCGTATATTGTGTTCAGATCATTTTTATATCGTGCTTGGCATAGAAATCAAATACTGTCATTGTGGAGATTGATAAAATTGTCATTGTCATAAAGTGTCAAACGTTTCCAAATAATACATAATAATCTTTTATGAAACATGTTACACTGAAAAAAATTCGGTTTATACAAGTATCTACCTAAGATTTTTGACTTGTCATTATTCAATATCTTACAATAGCAAGTTTTTAAAAAACCTGCCATTATTTTATTGATCTTTCTGTGACCATTGTATTACCCTTATTAGATAAACATTTATTTTTAGTTTACAATTATTTAAAAGTTATTCAATCAATTTGCAAATAATTTAGGAATAATAACCGTTAGTTGGCATTGAGTAAAAATAATTCTAAAAAAAAACTTGCAGTTATCTTTTAAATTTTATTATCGCCATTTACTAGTAGTAATAACAACATACAATTAAGGTTACTTTTTTAACTACTATTGGTTCATAAGACGACTAAATAAATCATAGAATGTCGTATACCATATTAAATAATATATTTTCAAAGACAGAATGCACTTCCACATGAAGTACCTAAAACTGCTGATTTCAAAAAGACATATGAACTTATCGACAGCAAATAATCTCCGCGAGAAGTCCTACTACCATACTACTACTACCACCTGTATTATGGTTACTAAATTGCCCCCAACATAGAAAAGTATGTCCGTATTTCATAGTTAATTTGATGTTTTTTGTTTGACATAGGTGAATTTTTATGTGTATTTTATTGTATCTAAAAAATTATATTTTTTTATCGCAATTTATTTGCTACTACATTTTATTTGTTACTTTGCAAATTTTAGAACCGGCAACGTTGGAAATTCTGATGTTTTCCGCCGGCCAAGAACAAAAAGAGAGAGAGTTATGGCCTTGATGTATAGACAAATAGAGATAGGAAGAGACGCCAAAGTTGGTTATCCTAAATGTTAATTCTTAGATTCTTCTCGGTGAGCAGATTTTAGCGATAGGTATGTCACACATATCTAATTAGCTAAACAGTTGAATATAGAGAAAAATGGCTACATGTCCCTATCCTATCGAAAACTAGCTGATAAGATCACCCTGCATCGAATAATTTTTCATACCACTGAATAGAACTGGAAAAGTTGAGATAGTGACATGTAAACTGTTTTTCTTGAATTTCAACTGCTTGTCTATCTACTGCCACCTAAATTTGAAAAAAATGTAATTTTCTAGTATAGTTCTTCCATTATCAATTGCAGATCATAAAAACTCGTTCGGAACCTGTACCGACAATTTTGTTTGATCTGTCATAGGCGTAGATACCTACCTCATTTTATAAATTTATTTTATTAATACTTTTAATATATATCATATGCAAGAAAGTATTCGTTAAAAGGAAAACGAATAATTATAAATGGGACGTTATTATACGCCCTTATTTAGACAGATGTACTTAATTGTAATCTTACTTGGACTTAAAAAAAAATCATTATAGCTCGTTAACTTGCTACAACTTAATATATAATTATAAAACGTAAAAAAGCGAGTAAAGTGTACCTGCCTGTAAGGGCGTTTGGTTTAAACAGGGGACCAGACGTGAACTGAACCCTTTTATACCCCATTCGTTCTTTTCCTGGAAAACGAAATTTCAAAGAAAAAACCATAAAGGAAAATAAATTATTTGCAAATAAAACAAAAGAAAAAAAAACAATTCAATTCTAAAGTATCTTTATAAATAATCATGGCAGTCTGAATCCTCTGAACTAGAGTCATCATTTGGTTGAATTATGATGGGTTGTAAAGAGGGTAATACTACATACTCATCTTCTTCTTTGATAACATGTTTAACACAGTTTTTCCAAAGCTCTTGGCGGTCTGCTGCTAGAACTTTCTTTACGAGTTCTACAACTTCTTTACTTAGTTCTGGAAACTGATTACATTTTCGTAATTCTGATTTTAAGTTTGCCAATATTAACTCTATAGGGTTAAATATGCAATAGTAAGGAGGTAGTTTGAGAAGAGTTTGCACAGCTTGTCAATATAATACATTTTTTCTTTATACCTTTAATAACAGTAAGCAATTCTTTGTTTGTTGGTCCTTTTTTACTATCACTGGAAGGAATAAGAATATTTTTTTCAGACACAAAAGCTAAAATTTGTGCTTTTTTACTGCTACTATTTGGTATTTTAAGGAGTTGCCCCGAGTGGTAGGATGCGTTGTTCATAACGATTACTGACTTTGGTGGAATGTAAGGTAAAAGCTGTTTATTAAACCGTTTTTCAAATAATTCTGCTGTCATATCCTTATGATAATCAGCTGCACAGTTTTTAATTTGTTTAGCAGATAATAATAAAGCATTAGGCACGAAACCGTCTTTGCTTCCAGCGTGTACTATTATAATGCGTTTCCCTTTATAACATGGCCTATTCAAACAGCAATTTTTACTACTGCCAACCCAACCAAAATTTACTACATCGTGACTGTCAAACCATGTTTCATCTAGATAAATTATGTATCTATTAGAACTTCTGTAGCCTTTTATCTGACGCAAATAATCTTGTCGCCATTGAACTATCCTTGACGATTCGGTGATTGCCATCTGCTTATTCAATTTTTTGTGTTTAAAACCACATGCTGACAAAACTTGACGCAATGTTTCCAAACTGTTATAAGTGTATCCCGGAAAATCTGCCACCTTTTGCTGTATTACTTCCAATGTCGGAACCCTGTTCTCCTTATATAAACTATAAATTGTCCTTCGTATAAAATCTTGGGTAGCTCTGTCAACTGATTTCAGTTTTTCTTTACACGTTTTTCGGTTTTATGAATAATCCACAGCAACCCCTTTCGTGACTACGGGATAAACGGAAAATTTATTTGCTTTAGTTAATTCAGCAATTGTTATTATGAACGCATTATCAGACTGCTGAATATTTTCCTTTTTTAAATATTCGAATATATTTAAAATAACTTGTTGTGTTTGTATATCTAAATCCTTATCGTTAAAGTCATACCTGTCTGTAATCTCACTACACTGTGCAATTTTATTTTCTTCATTCGCCCATGGTCTAAAGAACGCCATATTTATATTTATTAAAAGAAATTTAAATTAAACCAACCACACATACAAAACACACCGCACGACAGTACTCCACTGATATCGCAGACTGTTTTCCAAGAATATTTTCGAACACCTGCCTTCCGTAAACCTTCGGTCAATACAGTGCATTTAAGTTTACGATTCGATGTTTTCATTGGTAAACAACTGATGGTTCGTTTAATATTTACCGCTTTGTATAAGGGGAGTAAACAATATTTTTCGTTTCTTAATTTGGCATGAGTACCGTGCGTATATATTAAATATTGATGATTTCCCACATAACTGTGTTCTGTAATTTATAATGGAAGGACTATAGCTGTAAATCCATTACTGATCACTTTAGATAGATAGTACGATATATCGTTGAAATCTGCTTATTGAGAAGATTCTACAAATGTAAAAATATACAGGATGTATATTTTTCTGATGTTAAAGTTAAAGCAGCACTTTTCGAACATCATGTATTAATAAAATTCAGATAATTTAAAAAATTTGTCTAAAACCAAGAAACTTTTGTGTTAACACTTTTTTTTCTAAAGTCAGTATATAGTTTCCGAGTAAAGGTATGGGCCCCTAATAAATTACTCGCCCCCTATATGAACCAACCTTTAATTGGATGAATTACAAATCTTTTAATCTTTTTTTTTAATAAGACTCATTCTTTGTATTTATTTTCATTTCAAAAAGCAAGTTATAACAATACGGTAATTCTTTTTTGGGGAAATAAAAGTGACAGGTTATTAAATCAATTTATTTTTCACTTGGCAATAATTCGTTTGTTTTGCATCTAATTTGAAATATATAAACGTATCCCTAAAGGCTTATACACAATAGGTTTACATAAAACATAACCTAATATAATTCGCTAGCTATCTCAGCTATGTAAAAAAAGTTCTAAATTGAAGTGAAAAATAAAATGTTGTAGTTAAACCTAATTTGGATAAACTTATTTTAAAATAATTTATACATTTAAATATATTATTTACTTTTATTTGAAAAGTTACAAGTAAAGTAACATGAAGTTATTGTATCAGTATATTAAATAGTTGTATACTGTTTATTTTAAATGCTCAAAATCTATTTAGCTGCTTTTTTAATTTTTGTGTTTAGATGAGGGAATAGATGAAACTTCCTTTCTTTTATTGGATGAGGAAACAATGAACACATTGTTTCCAAAGGCAAGTCCACGATTGATATTTAAAAACAAATGTAAGGAATTTCAAAATTTAAATAAAATTACTTTGTTGGTACTTATTTATTCATTTGATTAAATTTTTTTAAATAGTTTTTAATTCAGTTTTATGAATTATTTGTGACATGCAATAATTATTTAAATATGGAATATGTTTTTATGTTGTACATTTATTGTAGGATATTCCATTTGAATCTGATACCAAATTTGTTGCTTATTTGAGATTAATTTTTGTAGTTAGAAGATTTCTGTGTACCAATGTGATGACAAATAACATTTTGATAGCCAAAGCTGATTTAAAAAAGATTTGAACAATAATTTTTGTATAATCTTGCCAATATTTTAAGTGATTTTGTTTTTTATATCTTACCTTCTCTTTGTGCTGGAGCTACTGCCGACATTGGTTGCGGTATAGCCTGTGGGAATTGACCATAAACCGCGGGATAAGCTGCCGACAAACATAAACAAAATAACACAAAATACATTTCCATTAATGCAATATCAAACATGCGTCAATTTTTCTATTTATTTCTTTGTTTTATACCAAAAAAAATTATTTAATTTGTAACGGTTATTTATTATTGACCGAATATTCCACGAACGAGACTCATTATGTTAGATATTAAATGTTATTACTCGGTCGTACGAGTAAAAAGCTATAATAGACTTTTCGATATGGATGAATCAAATACGTAAATTATACAGGGCTCTACGAAAAACCCTGGGTGTAATCTTAATTTCTGATTTTCAATAAAATTCTACAACATACTTTCAAAAATTTAATCATAAACAAAACGTACGTGGTCTCAGATAAACAAAAGGCATGTGGTGGTTTTTTAAAGATGTTTTTTTATAGTTTTAGTCTAAAAATGACTATTAAATGTTTTTTTATTTCTAAAATATAAATGTAGATGAGTATCAGTTTGTTTTATAGGTAAGTAAACAAAAATTATAGTAGTTAGCATTGTGATTATCTTATATTTATGATTATGTTTGAAAATCTTCTTAATTTCGTTAAGCCTATCTTAAATTCACAGGTTATTTGACCTTTGTCGTACGGTGCGGGATGTAAACGTACCTCAGGGTTACGAATTTCAGGATATTTTCGTAAAATTTCAATTTTATGCTATGCCTATTTAATTTATTGTCAACACATTCGTAATATATTTTTCAGTGATTTACCAAAAAAAGAAATAAACCCTCATACCGTTTTTCAGTGTTATAATGATGCTAACGGAAAAAAGACAGAAAATGTAGAAAAATTGCTACTAGTGAAATCGGTTTGTGTGTTTTATACTTAAACATAGACTTAATTTGTTATAATATTTTTATATTTTCCATAAGATTTTTTGGTAAATATTGGTTTAAATAAACATTTTTTTGTTTTTAATTGCCTGTCTGTTTATTTATTTTTTTATTAACATCTACCCAGCACAGTATTTTGTCTAATTTTTTTAGCACCGTACGACGAAGAAAAAACAAGGCAATAACAACAAACATATCTTAAGTATATTTTAGTATATGTGTAGTGCACATAGCTCTTAGAAAGTCTAGATACCGCATCGTGAAAAAATTTTGACCCCCAATACGATGGGTGCCATGATGCGTTAATTTTAAGTTGGCACTACTGATAAGGCAGAATCGGGGCACGTTTAGTAATAAGCCTAAGAACGGCGTTCAACGTTTATAATCGATTTTATTATCTGTTGTGTTGTTCATTTTGTTCTTCTAGTAAATGTTTTATTTAAAACATTATTTTTTAGTTTAGTCGTTTAGTGTTTTATTTTAATAAAAAACATTTGTAGTTTGATGTTACATTTTTACAGGATTTCCAAAATGTCTTGTTGTTTTGTACCTTGATATAACAATACATTTTACAAGGAAGGAATAACACTTCACGTGTAAGTTTTCACAAATATTTGTGTATTTACAAAATCAAATAATTTGTATGTTTTGTTGTAGCATACCAAAAGATTTTATAAAAGATTAGCTAACGTTAGTATAAGCCCAGAAAATAGGGGTATACTGGCTGAAGCCGCAAATGTGTAATTGGCTCCTTGTTAGTGACTAATCCTATTGTCAATTTTTCCAACACAAGTTTCATGATCCTTTGAACTTGCAGCCAAGTACTGATGAAGACAACAGTCAACTATTATTTCTATTTTACTTTTTTTTTATTCGGAAAATGACAACTATTACTACGTTGATAGAACTTTTTCTTTTCTTGAAAATTTTTTTAGAATATAGTTTTGTTTTAATTTATTTATGTTTATTTAAATTATTTATGTACAACTTACTTAATTTATGCCATTGTAATTTAGTTGTCACCAAGTAATTTTACAATATAACTTTTCTATTATATCGCATCTTTATAGTTCATTATTCATTGTAGTGAACTCCTTAGGTTTATATAGCTTATAAAAATTACGCACTGGTGAGATTAATTTAAGACTTTGAGTGTATATTGTTAAACTAGACCTTTAGATATATCAGGTGAAATAACTTATGAAACAAATTTTTAATTTTTTCTTTCGCATTAAAAAAAACTTGAGAATATAGTGAATTGTATAAAGAAGCAATAGTATGTATAATATAATATTTAAAAGTATGACTAAATCAAACGGCAATTTGTAGACCAATGTCATTATTGTGTACTTTTTATTATTTTCTTTGCAATTGCATTTATTTATCTATCTCGTGGATAATATTTCACAATATCATCAAAGTTTTATTAATATTCATTGAATGGTTATTAATTATGCTTAATTAAATATATTTATGATCATGTTTTGGACAACCAAGAGCAAATAGATGCTATATCTATATATAAAGGGGTCTAAGACTGTGGATAAGGTTGATCATAGGAGCATGGTCTCATAATTGTTTAGTTTAGGCTTTTCTAGCGGGGGTATTAATTTTAATTACAAACCATATTTTCAATGTCTCCAAATATTCAAAGTGTGAAAGATTGCAACGAAATTCAAAGAAATTTGAACGGTATCGATAACATTATTTAATTATTAAAAAATATTGAGTATTATAAATAGTTCTTTAAGTTCATTAAACTAGACATTTATAATATTCATAAATGACAATATATGAATTATATTTAATTCAAACCTAACTATTTTAATGATATGTACATAACTTGTTAGAACTTTAAAAAAATGGATAGCAGTACTTATTATTTTGTATTAGGCATAGCCGTGCTTTTACAGCGAACATGTGGCAACTATGATATACCCGCTATCGCCCTCTAGTTTCTTGCCTCACATTCGGTTCAGCTAATATCCCACCACAATATCTTCTAATTCTAGTCGACGACGACGACGACGACGACTGGCTGTTGCCCTGTTGCCATTTTATTAACTTTTATACTAGTCGTATGCCTAACACGAAAAAATAAGCACTGTATAATAAATTGTAAAAGCTTTACTAATGTAGTACTTATACCTATTAAATTTCCCTTTAATTAACTTCTTCCAGTTGTCGTAATGGAATATTATTTGGAACACTTTAATGGTATTTTTATGATATTAAAAAAGCTCAATGAAGAGTTATCAAATTTATATAATGTAGTTTTTAAAATGGATCTAATTTACCGTGAAAGAGGTTTAAATAACAATACATATACGATCTAATTTTATTAAACAAAATGGATTTTTTTATCAAAATTATTATTACTCCATTTATAAATTGTTTTTAAACAACATAAGTGTAAACACATTATAGATATATGATGTATCAAATTAGGTACTTGAATTTTTCAACCTTTCTTGTTGAGATTTTATTTATTCATTTAAAGAACAAATCTAGGAAAATTAAATAGGTTTGTCAAAGTTTTCTAATTTGAAATTAGAAATTGTGCATCTCCTTAGTGCATCTCACTCGTTTATAACTAATAACAAAGTGCAGAATATCGGTGTTCACGTATTACAGAATACACAAACTAAAAATAAGTGTAGCCAAAATATCATGGCGGCCAGCTTGAATGGGATAATTTTTTTGTATTGACAGCATACGCCAAGAGGTATCTAGACTTTCTGTGGACTATGATAGCGCATCACCTGATTTCGAAAAATGTACATCGCTTTTTTGCTGGCTCTTTGTAGAATGCAAGGGTGCATGGGTGAACGCGAATAAGCTGCACTATATCCAAGCGGTGGGTGCAGTCATGTGACCCAAAACATTCAAAGTAAAGTTTCAAAACAATGCTTTTTTGATCGCAATTAAATATATTTACCCAAAATGTCCGATGCAGGACCATCGGGTTCACGTCATTTATCGCAGAAAAGGAACTCTTTTATTTACAAGCAATTGCTTACACATATTCTGGACAAATATAAAAGTCAATGAAGACTTTTGAGAACTCCCCATGATACATTAAAAAGATCTTTAATTATAAACGATAATAAAATTATCAAAACTCAAATGTAATAGTAGCAAAATGAAATAAATGAATTTAGCTCAAAGCCGAATATCACATAAAATACAACGACCGTTTCCCCTTCAGAAAAACAATTACTCCTTTGGCTAATACAACAACAGGCATTGAATTACATCCGAAGGAAAAACAGCAGAGATAGAAATTAATTTTCAACACTCTCTACTTTGATTTTGCTGACCAAGGAGAACATCGTTCTTGGACCGGTTTCGTCCTTATTAGGACTCCTCAGCAAGAAATAGATAGGTTCTCAATTCCAGTCTCTAATGGAAATAACAAATGCTACACATTTCACCAGTATACCATAAAGTTGGTTACGGAGAGAATAAAATTCAAGTAGTGAAAATGGTGTCGCCATCTGTTCTTAGTAAGCAAAATCAAAATGCGCTATGGTACCCAGTTTGAAAACTAGGTGGAACCAAAAAGACCAGGCCCAAGAATGATGTTCTCCTTGGTGAGCAAAATTAAAGTAGAGAGTGTTGAAAATTAATTTCTATCTCTGCTGTTTTTCCTTCGGATGTAATTCAATGCCTGTTGTGGTATTAGCCAAAGGAGTAGTTGTTTTTCTGAAGGGGAAATGGTCGTTGTATTTTATGTGATATTCGGCTTTGAGCTAAATTCATTTATTTCATCTTTAATAATAATTAAAATTCGACCAATTATTATTGTAATATTTCAATTATGATACCGGAAGCACAAAATATATGTTGATATTATTCACCTCGTCACCATAGGAATAATATCTATTGACTACTTCATTAGAGAACATACTTATTATTATTACACATGCAATCATTAGTAAAAGAATGTCTATTGTGAACTCTGATGTACTCATCTATCTTTACGTCGAACATTTTCATTATGACAAATTAATAAAATATTATTTACTATTCGTAAAACTGACAATCAATAACACAAAATATAAAAAAAGGCTGGAATTATACGTAACATGCAATCAGAAATATTCATTGTCATAAACATACAGAATTGGAGAATTAATGACG